TTCCCATTTTATGAATTGTGTTTTCTATTTATTATTTCCTTCTCATTTCACAGCTTTTTTTCTTTGAGAGCTCATAAACATAGCTTTTAAGGTCAAGCTGTTTAAGAGCTTGAGAGTGCTGTAGCAACTTTCACTGTGCACTGAGGCCACAAAGGCTCTTACGGTCTCTTCATCCCATTTTGATAATCTTCTTAGTCCCTGACTCCACTGTTCAATATGTATAGAGCTGAAAAGAGCTGGACTTGAGGGGCTTTGAGTGTCCTGCAGCTCAGCCTCTGGGATTTTTCTCTCTCTAGGACCAATTACCACACACAAACAGTCTGAGCACTTTGCTCTATGACATGGGGCTCCTTTGTTATACTGTGAGGCTTAGTGTATGTCAGTCAATCAAGATCTCGGCCCCCCCGCAGGTGATTATTGCCAATCCATTTATTTTGGCTTGCTGTGCAAAACTGTTTTGCTTAGGTTGTTTTTTATTCAGATCAAAATGCAACTAAATGAGATGAGTTGATTTAGTAGGAAAACAAGGCCAGAGCCTTCATGTGTCCTTGATTTAACTTGTCTATAGAGAATAAAAAACATAATAAGTACTCAAGCATAAAAGTAGGATTTGTTGGATGCAGTTTGTAAATACAATATTGAAATGTGTATATTCCTAGCTTCCAAATAGGCCTCAAACACAACACTGTAGCTCGCTGTCATAGGTGTATGAATGGGTGACTTACAGACAAATTGTGAAGCCATTTGGCCTGATAAGGGCCCAAGAAGAAATGTCTGGAGATCATGAAGGGCGCTAGACTCGAGCAACAAATTCATGGCTATGTATCCAACAGTTGCAGAGACATTTTACTCCAGACTACAGAAGTCAACTTAACCGTGGCACAAGTAAAAAAAGTCAGTCTGTCAATATGGATTCAGCGTCTGGACAAGATTTTGTTCCAATCTCTCAAAGAGATCTTGAAATTACCATGTCATTATATACCATGAATATTATTCAATATTGTATGGCAATCTCATCCTTGTTGAGATGTTTCAGTGAACCTTAATTTCAAAATCGGTACTTTATGCTACATGATTGAAAGGGAAACTCCCGACAATGTGCAGAGTTCATAAGAGGAAACAGCCATTGTCTGAAGAAAGAGTCAGAATAATCGCATTTCCTCTAGGCCAGTGGTTCCCAAAATGGTTATTAAAAATAAAAATAAAAAGATTTAGAAAATAAAAGAATCATAATTTGAAAAAGTATTGATTCGAAAATAATATGATGCAGTACTATTAGGTCTGGGTCTCTGTGTTTCATTAAAGCTCGGCTCTGTGTGTGTGTGAAACGAGCCATTTTGTGTGCGTGCGCAAGCGAGAGAGAGCGCACCGGTACCGGAGATCGTTGTTGTTAGCTTCTGGTGCTAGCGAGCTACGCTAACGGATATAAGGAGTTTTTTCAACAACAAAGTGGAGGAGAGTCCTCTCTCTTGAGAGACTCAGTGAGCTAAAGGACTCTCTCAGTGTTATCTCAGTGGGTCTCAAACGTTTTGGTCACCATTAATGTAAACAATTATTTCCGAGGCACACGTATATGATCATTATAGTTATAAAAAAATAAGAGAATAAATGAAAAACAGGTATGAAATAGTATGACAGTAAAACAAGAATAAAGTTTAAAAAGGTGATTTGTAAAATATCCATAAAGTACATCTGTTTACAGTTCTGTTTCAAATGGGTGTTGAGAGATGTATCCATGATCTCTTCATTTGCTTTCAAAAGTGCACCATGATTGAGCATTTACTTCAATATTTAAAAATAAATCTTCCGGGGGAGGCTTGCCCCGGACCCCCCTATGTGAGGTCCACACGCCCTATAAAATAAGACTTGACCCTGCTGCCACCTATAGCTGTGACTTGATTATCGGAGCCTTCAATGTAACAGGTCCGGGTTTATTTGCGTGGGGATTGTTGCAGTAGAAAATTCATGTAGCGGCCCGGTACTTCCATGGGAAAACCCTAATGTTTGACCCTCTATGAAAGTCAGCTATCCCACGCACCCCAAAATACATCTCTGGGCGGCTGCCACTGAGCTGACTTGTGTTGGGGGGCTCGGACTTTTTTTTCTCCAAATGGGCCTGACAGGAAAAGTTTGGGGACCATGCTACTAGGCGTACATCCTACATAGATGTTCCCTAAAACAGGTCCTGGTTTGCTAAAAAATGCTTTTTATTGAAACTGATTGTCAATAGCTTTGTGGAATGTATGTTTTCCATACCAATGTTTGTTGTTTTAAGTAATCACAAATATGTAGGAGTAGAGACTGCTGTTTGTGTCCTTATAAAACTCTACCTTAACATATAGTTTAACTCATTATTTCAATAACATATGTTCAAAGCAGCAAACCATTACCTTTTTTTAATCCTACATGTGTGTTTCTCTGGACTTAACAAAGTAGTTTTAGCATTTTTTTTCTTGCTTTATTTGCTTTATTTGAATTTACATACACACTGTGTGTGAAACTGAGCTGGTAATCGGAGAATTATGTGGCTTCTGGAGTTTGTTGCATAGGAACGTTATTTTGTAGGAGAAAGGGTTGTTCAACTATTCCTTTACTCTCTCATTATTACCACTTTCTCCCAATGAACCCTGTCCTGCCAATTTGAAGATGGCTTTTGTTTTATTAAAAAAAAAAAAAAAAAAAAAAAAAAAAAAAAACAAAAAAAAAATAAAAATGCTTTGAGAAAAGGAAAAGGAAACGTCTTCAAGTTGGATGGATCATTTAATCTGGAAAACAGAGGAGGGTTATTACAGAGAAAACAATGGCTACATTTCGGGGAAGAGAAAATTGGGAGTGGGAACATGCTCGCTCTATCTCACAAATGGGGGACCTTGCTTCCTAGATTATTTTGGCATGTATTGTTGATAGTATTCAACACTGTACAACGNGCATCAATCTGGTGCACTTTGAGAGCAAAATGAAGAGATCTATGGATACATCTCTCAACACCCATTTGAAACAGAACTGTAAACAGATGTACTTTATGGATATTTTACAAATCACCTTTTTAAACTTTATTCTTGTTTTACTGTCATACTATTTCATACCTGTTTTTCATTTATTCTCTTATTTTTTTATAACTATAATGATCATATAAACGTGTGCCTCAGAAATAATTGTTTACATTAATGGTGACCAAAACATTTGAGACCCACTGAGATAACACTGATAGAGTCCTTTAGCTCACTGAGTCTCTCAGTCTGACAGGAGAGGACTCTCCTCCACTTTGTTGTTGAAAAAACTCCTTATATCCGTTAGCGTAGCTCGCTAGCACCAGAACCTAACAACAACGATCTCCGGTACCAGTGCGCTCTCTCTCTCTCTCGCTCGCGCACACAAAATGTCTCGTTCCACACATATGGAGCCAAATGAACCACAGAGACCCAGACGTAATAGTACTGTACTGCATCATATTATTTTTGAATCAATAATNCTGGTGCTAGCGAGCTACGCTAACAGATATAAGGAGTTTTTTCAACAAAGAGGTGGAGGAGAGCCCTCTCCTGTCAGACTGAGACACTCAGTGAGCTAAAGGACTCTCTCAGTGTTATCTCAGTGGGTCTCAAACGTTTTGGTCACCATTAATGTAAACAATTATTTCCGAGCCACACGTTTATATGATCATTATAGTTCTGAGACTGCCAAGGCACACGTTTATATGATCATTATAGTTATAAAACAATAAGAGAATAAATGAAAAACAGGTATGAAATACTATATGACAGTAAAACAAGAATAAAGTTTAAAAGGGTGATTTGTAAAATATCCATAAAGAAAAAGTAAATCTGTTTACAGTTCTGTTTCAAATGGGTGTTGAGAGATGTATCCATAGATCTCTTCATTTTGCTTACACCTATATGCTGTGAGCTGATTATCGAGTCTTCATTGTAACAGTCGCGGGTACACTGTGCATTTGCGTTGGGATTGTTGCAGTAGAAAATTCCACTGTAGCGACCAGTACATTAATGGGAAACCCTAAATGTTTGAGCACCCTCTATGAAACTTCAAGCTACCCCACAGCACCCCCAAAATAAATCTGGCGCCGCCACTGAGCCTGACTATTTGTGTTGGGGGGGGCCCGACTTTTTTTTTTCTCCAAAGGGGGGGCCTGACGGAAAAAGTTTAAGAACCACTGCATTAAGGCAATCTACCAGTGTCATCCTGTTCCAGCTTCTCCAACATAAAGTATGCAGCTTTTCTCAGTTTTCATTTTACATTTAATATATTTGGGTTTTTGCTGGTTGGTGTGACAGTACAAATATTTAGAATGACCCACTTTTTGCTTCAGGACAATTGTTATTATTTGTATTTAATATGAATGTACGTAAGAGTCCTAGAAAGTTAAATGTAAACTAAGTAAACATGGCCTTGGCGGCTCACTGGTACAGTATAGACTGGCTTATGAACAACTTTAACATCAAGTCATCATGAGGGGATTACAAAGGAAGTATTACATTATGGGGAAACATTTCTGGGAAACCAGAACCCCACAAGCCATTGATTTCCTCAAACAATTTATCAATTAAATTGTGAATGTGGAGACAACCAGCAGATAAGAGCCGAGTGTCTTTGCCAGTTTGTAATTCAGTCTGACTGAAATGTTGCTCAGATGGAGAAATTACTTTACATTAACTCTCTCAGTATGAATGAGATTAATTATTGATTGTGAGTATATTTGTATTGCAATTATGCGTATTACGTAATCCTTTCTAGCAGTGAGTACGTTTTTTTTCTTTTTACCCCAGCAAATAAACAGGCATACATTGATGTTCTTATAAATACAAACGTGTGTAGGGAAACATTTAACCTCAACATTGAAGGATAACATCTTGAACTGTAAAACTCGAAATGTCTTGTAGAAATGTTGATTAGTGCTCATGGAAAAAAGGTTTATGTAAACTCTATTTAAAATCATGTTAATCACAAGTACTACCACCAAAGAACAACACTACACTTCCAGCTTAGTTGGCAAACGTTTTAATCATCAGCGGACATTTTGGGTGCAGACGAACAGCGCTCTCGTTCTGTTAACATCTTTAACATTACATTAACATTTTTCCATCAAATGTTACTTTGCTAAGACATTTCTTAGTGTCATGTTTTTTATTATACATGAGCACTTCAGAAAAGTATGTTACAATAAATGATTAGGTAATATGTTAGAAAAATACTCAAGGCTAAAACAAAGAAAGGTGAATAAAGGCAATGTAACTGGCACAGTATTCACAAAATTAGTGCATAAGAAACTTCAACAGCTGCTCTTCACAGGGCAATGGGACAATATCAACAATTCCTGTTACACAAAAACAAAAGATACAAACAACTGAGTTAGTTAGTAGTAGTTGTTGTTCCTTCAGGACCACAGGATTTAAAGTAATGTTCAATAGTGATAAGACTGTTTTTATACTGTAAGCTTTACATAGGCAAAAGTGACAAGTCATTTCAGTATCAATATAATGTGTCCAACATAAACAAATGTAACAGAAAAATATATTTATGCTGTAAGCTATCGCTTCATTTATGGCAGCCTTAATCCGGGCTTCTTAAATCTAAAAAGACAGTTTGGGAATTTATATTCAACCACAATATAAATGCTAGTAACTACTAAGTAAGTTGATCCTTTGGCCACTTAAGCAAGTTAAGAGTAAAAACAGTAGAAGGCTAGTGAGGTGTCTTTCTGTATTTTTGGCTGGAAAAACATCCATTTTCTTCCCTTTTCTACAGTAGTAAGCTGAATCCAGTGTTGCTTGCTCTAGTGATTTAGTGATCTCTGTTTGTATGAAATATGCCATCATATTAACCCCAGGGTTCTTTTGACTGGGTTTCGTCTTCCACAGCATTATCAGCAAATGACAGACCTGGATTGACTGAGTGTATCACTCTAAGGGCTGCAAATGGCTCCGTATTATTAATTTCCACCCATCATGCTCTATTAGTTTAATCAGTGGTGAACTTCATTGAGTTTCTTTGACAGGAGTCTGACATCTCTAGCCTCTCTTCTCTTACTGTCACTGTGTCAGCACGGGAATGTCGATCTCTATGGCAGACATCCGTGAGCGGGAGGAGTATCGCTGACCTGCGTAGGTGGATGCGTAGCCTTGAGATGGTGCGTAGCTCTGAGATGGTGCGTAGCTCTGAGATGGTGCGTAGCCCTGAGATGGTGCGTAGCCCTGAGATGGTGCGTAGCCCTGAGATGGTGCGTAGCCCTGTGAGGGAGCGTAGCCCTGTGAGGGAGCGTAGCTGTAGGCCTGGTTGCCTCCCACCTCTGAGCCATAACCATCAGGAACAGACATCTGAGACATGTACACCTGTGGCGGTACAGGGGCCACCACACTCTGAGCGTAGCCCTGGGAGGTCACATATGGCTGGGAGTCGATCACTGTGGGAGGATAGCCCTGGGGAGGGAAGGGCTGAGGGCCATACACTGGAGAGGGAGGATATCCGTTGGCAGTGAGAGGCTGGGTGGACAGAGAGGTAGGCATAGAGGGCAGAGGCAACCAGAAGGGTGAAGGCAACTTTTTACACATACAGTACCACATGAACATTAGCAGGGCGGCCAGCATTAGACCTCCAGAGCAGCCTATAGACACATACACAGCAAAGCCATCGGAAAAAATGTTGTCATATTTGATGTTCATTTCCTTGGTCCGAAAAAGGAACCATACTGAGGGTGCGATGGCAATAGCTCCACCTAAGAACAAAAACGTCCCGGCCACCAGGTGACAGCCTGCATTGTTGACCAGGAATCTGATGGTCTTAATGTCTGGTTCAGGCTTGTCTGAGCAGCAGCAGGTCTTAAACATTCCTGCCATGCACAGCAGCAAGGCCAGAGAGCCAAACATCATGCCCGTAGGAAGACAGAACTGCAGGAGCCGCAGATCCAGCTGGTCCACTTTAGAGTACCACTGGAAAAATTGGGAAGACAAGACATTTGTTAGGGCAATTGAGGACAGAAAAATATAAAAACAAGAAAAACAGAGGAGAGCCCAATTCTCAAAGTAATACCTCTGAATCATAGTAGTAGCATCCAGAATAGCCATCCTGTTTCACACATTTAGCCCACAGCCCATCATACACACTGATATTCTTGGCATTACGATTGAAGGTGACGAGTCTTGTTACACGCCACTGTGGGATTAATGCTGCCACAGCAAGCCCTCCCACACAAACAAAGGCAAGGATGAAGGCAAAAGCGTTGGTGGCGTGGATATCCCGGCACGACATGGTGGTGCTGACAGGAAGCCACGAGGAGAGTTCCTGTTTGAACAAATAAAGAGAGGATGTCAGAAAGAAGTGGCTGGTCACTGCAGTGGAAATCAACTGGACCATAATGTGACTAAAGTAAACCTATTTTCTGGACAAAGAAAAAGACAGGTTATACAAGTTATTACTAGCCCCATTACTATTGAAAAAAGTAAACTGTGCCACAGAGTGACCTAGCTATGGGCAACCCCCCTGTACTTCTATTCACCACATTGTAGTTGACCCAATAAATGCTGTCCCCGAGAAACAATGCTCTCGTTTCATTAGCAAACAAAGTAAGACTGACTTGGGAGCTGAGCTTGCAGGGCGAGAGTGTCTATACTGCAGCGCATTACATAAACTGTACAGACAGACAATGAGCGACTGAATTAGAAGTGTCTTTCTGTAGCAGCATGCAACACTGACTGATCATGACTGTGTGGAAACTTATATTTAGAAACTATCTTATGCCTTAATATAATACAAACAACTAAATCAGATCACACCCGTCCTTGCCTCTTTCAGTGGTAACCAGTTTGTCACGAAGTTGTCTGAAAATGACCTTATTTTATGAATTATTAGGCCAACACATAGTTAAGTGAAGCCTCAGGCAATGTTTTTCAAGCTATTTTATATTTAGCTTTACAATCTAAGTTTTGAATGTATCTTTAAATTAAAAAAGCCTATTGTCACATGTTTGTTCTGTTCAGATGTGCTATGTTGTTATTCTATTCTTTATAATTATTATATCAGTTTTTTTGTTACTGTTTTCACGGAACACGTGAATTACACACTATGTGCTTTTTATAAACAATGCAGTCATCATTACAAAAAGTGGAATCAGCAGTGGTCGATGATGACTGCATCATCATTATGATACACCACCGCGTTACAGCTGTGCCTATAACACCTGTTATATTGCATTATAATTTTGTGATTACCGTTACACAATAACTGGCTAATACCTGGTGTTTAAGAAGCCATGATCACATGAAGCCTGCCAGATGACGCCTGTCTGAGTAGCTTCAACAGCTAGCTTAGCCACATTTAGGCTGGCTATTTAGCCCGTTGACTGAGGCTAACTGGAAAACACACTTTTATCTTGATCAAAAGCCTCATACATGTGTTCATTAAACTTTCAAAAACGTTAAATAATGAATAATAAATATGTTTGAATTGGCTGGCTTACCAGCATTTAACCCTGAAGCTAGTTTGTTAAATTAGCTAATTAGCAAGATGGTGGCTAATAAGTTAGCATTACAACAACCTGTTGCGTCTCGAATTCCTCACTGTGAAACTCAGACATGGCTACTACATAAACTACATAAACATAGACCACCATACCTTGTATTTCCAGCAGTGAGGTAGTACTTAGATCGAAGGCAGTTTCATTTCAGCCTGGTCCTCCTCTGACTTTATACAATCAGAACAATCAGAGTTTTTTTCACTGAGGTACAGTTAAGACGAACGTAAACAGGATGTGGGTGTTTTTGCCCTCAGTGTTGTCTCACGGGGGGTTGACGCATGCGCGCAGAGTATTAAAATCACGGGGATCATAAAATAGACATGGAAAATTAGAAGTTCAGACAAAGCAAAAATAGCACGCTTGAGGATACATTCATTTTGAAAACAAATTTAACTTCGTAAAACAGATGCCTGAAATGTAAACATTTTAATGCACAGAGCCACACATTGACAGAGCACAGACAATACAATTGAAGACGTAAAAATGAAAAACATTAAAACTTACTAAGTGTACTACAATAAAGAGAATATTTATGATATAGGTTAGCTTAAGCCACATTAGAATAGTCTTTTAAAACACTTATGTGGTTCAGTCTTGTGAGATAGGAAGGGTTGGCCATATTTTATAGGTTGCATACATTTTTTATGATCCTGAGTGAGTAAGTTATCCGTAACTTTTGAGACTTTTGACTTACATACTGTATATTCTTTTGACGATTGCCTGTAGGATTTCTGTAGGCTTGATGGATTGACTATGTGTAAGATTTCAATTTGAGAAGTTGCCAGTCCCTCTATGCTTTTCTTTTTTATAGCATGATTATAGTAGGTGTGTCTGTCCAAATAATTAACAACCCTGAGTTTGACAGGTGTACTTTATTGTGTGGGCTACAAACTCAGATATTGGCCTGTGAACTGATGAACTTCATAAAACTCAGATGTTTCTGTCTTTCAGGGAGATGTCCGCATTCACATGATATATAAATCTGCAGGGCATGAAGGATTTAATGATCTCTTCAATGGTAAGATGATAAATTAAGTAATGGAAAGAATTTGATTCATAGTTTCATTAAAAAAATTCCTTTTTCATTTAATTGAATGTTTCTGTTTACTAGGTGATTTTCCAGAGCCGCCTTTTCCCAGCCCCCCATTTCCCGGGTCAAAAGTTGTTCACAGGAGAAAAAAGAGACAGGTACGACTCCTCTGCAGTCATATTTACTGGAAAATTGTCATCATAGCAGATGGGTGCTAATGAGTGACGTCACTTTATGGTGTGCATGTGTGAAATGCTCTGAATGCTGTTAGCCCTGATCATCAAACTGTTTCCTCGCCGGTATGTTTTATGTAAATTCACAAAGCTAAAACGAGAGTGCTGTTTCCTCATCTCCTCCTACACGACAGCTCTCCACCCTTTCTTCTTTTTCTTCTTCTTTTTCTTGGTCTTCTTCTTCTTCGCTTTTGCCTTCATCTTCGTCTTCTTCTTCCTCATGAAATATTTACCTTGCAAGTAGAGGCTGCTTGCTCATCTTTTCTCAGACATAGATGCCATTGGTCTCTCAGCTCTCAGAGCTGCTCTCATCTTTATTTGGGTATTTGAAAGACAGACAAACCTGGTTTAGCATTGCAAAGTTCACCTGTTATAAATTACCTTTTTCTTTTCTTTTCTTGGTGACGCATGAGACAAAAGCTGATCTTTGTGTTTGTGATGTTTAAAAGTTGTGTGGAGGAAAATGGAGAAAACCATGTCTCTCTCTCTGTGTTTATAACTAAAGTAGCAAACTGTGTTTTTCCTCTTAGGCTCCAAGTGAGTCTCACAGTGTAGAAGATGAGACCAAATACGTTGAGCTGATGGTGATCAATGACCATTTAATGGTAAGCACATATGTTATGGATGTACAATTCTAATTGACCGTAAACTGTGAAATTATTAGTTACAAATAGCTCCAAATACTACCTTAAATTGTGCATAAAACATCCAAATGCCAAATCCACTGGGTCTGACGTTTTTTACAAACTAAAATTGATATTTGGAGAAAACCGAATCTGCAGACACTGGCTCGTTTTACACATTAAAATGAATTTGTTCCACATTATGAATCCAACATTTCTTCATTTTCTCTTTCCCTCTCTCTGTCTCTCTCTTCAGTACAAGAAGCATCGGCTTTCTGTTGGGCACACGAATAACTATGCTAAGTCAGTGGTCAATATGGCTGACATGGTAAGAATTGTATTGATCTTCTTCCTGAAAGCTTGCTACAAACACTCCCAGGTATTAGAGCTGAGCGCACATTGCACTGATTTCTCATTTAACCAACCTCACTCCCTACATTTAAAACCTCTCCTGGTCCCTGATATCCTGCGTGCGGCCATTAAACAGCCAGTCATGAGTTTCCAGAGGCCTGAAACAGCAGTGGCATCCCATCAGTACTGAGGCAGATATTTATATGTTTCATTATTCGTAGCCACATCTGTTTGCTGTGCTGCTGAAATCTGACCTGCCACAGGGTCATGTCTGAAAGCTGATAGGCTCAGGAAAGGTCATGCTTTTTGTCGTGCCCTTGAAGAGGATCATATGAAGCCGACTCTATTTGGGACATATACATCGATTTCCAAGTCAGAGTTTGGTTGCCTTTTATCCCCAGTGTATGATGTGATAAATATTACAGCAATTACTTGTAAGACAGAGCTTGTATAAATATACAATGAATGAATCCAAGTAAAATCTTTATAGATTGTATTCAGTAAAACAAGTACTTAGCTTAGTCCTGGAAAAGGAGATGTCACCGTTATGGCCTCTTTCACCAACCAATGTCTACTAAAGAAGGTCACTGTAGAGTAAACCGTAGTGTAAGAAAGGAGTATCTATAAATTAAAGTGCATGATTGAAATAACTTTTACAAAGCAGCAAAAAGTACGAGATATTTCTCCATTATTTGCAGACTAGCGGGTTAAGGTTGTTTCTCGCTCCAGTTTTTTATGTATTAACTCAACTTTTGAGTCACAGAGCTGAGCAACCGGTTTACTGATATATAAATACTGGTGATCTTTGGAAAAACCCAGAAAATAGTTTAACAATAATTACCTGAATCTATTTCCTGAATCATATATCCTTGCTTTATTCGTAAACTACAAGATAATGCAAGATTTCTGGACATAAGGCCAATCAGCAAAATGGCTTCAACACTGGGTTTTCTTTTTAAAGATCACCGGTTATTTTATTTTCGCACCTGTATTGAAGTAGAGTATACTATATGGCGAGGATGAAACTAAATGTGCACATACTGAAGTGGAGCTGCTAGGTGAAGTTCTTTATGCTGGATTGTGATATAACCACGCAAACATCATATATTTCTGATACTTCCTCTGCTCTGTTTTGAGGCGTTCAGCTTAAACAAAGAGGCTTTGCTCTTGTCCTCTTCTCTTCTAGTGTTTGTCTGGCCCCAGTACCCCAATAGATTCCCATCTTATGAGAGCAAACATTGTTATTTGCCGGTCCTTCAGACTGTGCCCCGTATTGACTGCGTCTTGCTGCCTGTAGTGTGCTGCTGTCTGGTGGCAGGATCAGACTGATCTCACTGACTGGCTGTAGACAGCTGGGATGTTGATGAATATGAAGTCAGTTTTAATATCAATCAGTCATTTCTGTCTTTGCACTTTCAGTTTATAACGATAACTGTCACTGACATTAAATGTTATACTTTTAATTCCCCAGATTTTCAAGGAACAGCTCAATACCCGGATTGTGCTGGTTGCCATGGAAACGTGGTCAGCTGACAACAAATTCAACATCGACGAGAACTCGATGGTGACGCTGAAGGAGTTTATGAAGTATCGAAAAGACTTCATCAAGGAGAAATGTGACTCTGTTCACCTCTTCTCGTAAGTCGAAACATCTTAGAAATATGTTCTGGTGCTCTCGGGATATTTTCTTAAATGGATATTTGTATTAAACACATAACTCTCTTTTCTCATCAGAGGGAATCGTTTCCATAGCAACTGGGGGGGAGCTTCCTACATGGGAGGCGTTTGCTCCCTCACTAAAGGAGGGGGGGTCAATGAGGTGAGTCTGGAACAGATTTCCAAAATCTCTTAATTCAATTCACTTTTGATTAGATAGAGGATTTAAACCATAATCTTTTCACTGAACACCTCCAGCATGCTCTCTCTTCTTTTCTACAGTAAATGTGAACGCTGTACATTTATTTCTGTTGTATACTGCAGTTTTATTTTACATGAGGGGAATTTGTAGCTATCTCTTTTTGCTGTTAAAAGGAATGATCCTTCTTACTAATTATTCTCATTAAAAATATTTACATTTTTACAGTGGGGTTTTCTTTTTGGAGCATCTGGATATCTTTGTTGCACAAAATATTTAGTTTTAAATTAATCTTTGAAACATGTTTAGCCTATAACTAATATTGTTTCTCCTGTGATTTTAAATGTGCAGTCCGCCATAATGTTATTGCTATAACATTTTGAATAGTTGTTCGGACCTTTCTTATCACTCTTTTTTTTCAGACTAACCTGATATTCTGTTTATTTTCTGCCTCTGTCTTTCTCTCTTTCTGTCTGCCTCTCTTCATCAGTATGGGAAAGCAGATGAGATGTCCATAACCCTCGCCCAGTCACTTGGACAGAACATCGGCATCTTCTCTGACAAGAAGAGGATCATCAATGGTACAAAGTTAAATCTTCATGAGTCTTTTAATTATTACTTTTCCAGCACGCATCCTGTATTTCAAGATTCCTTTCTAAGCAATAAAAACATGTTGCGTGTTTCTTATTCTAGGAGAGTGCAAGTGTGATGATCGTTGGACGGGCTGTATCATGGATGATGTTGGGTAAGTTACTTTTACAGAACATTTGTGGTTTTAAAGTCATGACTTTAAAACCACAACAGAGAAAGAGTTTGTGTTTGCCCAACAAACGATATGACGGAAAAGCAACTGGCATACAGTTCGTCCATTTAGATTTAGATACATTTTGTTTAGATACAATGCACTTTGGTTTAATGCTAACATCACACTTAACAAAAAAAATGATTTCACATTTATTTACTAAATTCATTTCTTTTTTAAATGGACAGCTATTGTCACCAAAGTGTCACATGAAATTTGACCTAAAGGTTGTAAATAATGTGCGGCCAAAACTCAAATTGATTGTGGACATTTTATGTTTCCAACTTGAATTGCATTTCATTTATCTTGTTATAGTTGAAAGGGATTATGTAAACCAATTAGATTTATTGTATCACAGTTAGCGTAAAGCCACTCCGCAAAAAAGTTTATAGAAAATAACATAGATGTCTTAATCTTCATCAAAATATAACATTGTTGGCAGGGAATACAGGACTGTCTCAGAAAATTAGAATATTGTGATAAAGTTCTATATTTTCTGTAATGCAATTAAAAAAACAAAAATGTCATACATTCTGGATTCATTACAAATCAACTGAAATATTGCAAGCCTTTTATTATTTTAATATTGCTGATTATGGCATACAGCTTAAGAAAACTCAAAAATCCTATCTCAAAAAATTAGAATAGTTCCTCAGACCAAGTAAAAAAAAAAGATTTATAACAAGACAAAACACAATACAAACATTTAGAAAATGTACCATTAAATGCACTCTAGTACTTGGTTGGGAATCCTTTTGCACGGATTACTGCATCAATGCGGCGTGGCATGGAGGCAATCAGCCTGTGGCATTGCTGAGGTGTTATGGATGCCCAGGATGCTTCAATAGCGGCCTTTAGCTCATTAGCATTGTTGGGTCTGGTGTCTTTCAGCTTCTTCTTCACAATACCCCACATATTCTCTATGGGGTTCAGGTCAGGGGAATTTGCAGGCCAATCGAGGACAGTAATGCCATGGTCAGTACACCAGTTACTGGTGGTTTTGGCACTGTGGGCAGGTGCCAGATCATGCTGGAAAATGAATTCCTCATCTCCATAGAGCTTTTCAGCAGACGGAAGCATGTAGTGCTCTAAAATCTNCCCGCCGCTTAAAGGTGGGGGTCCGCGGACCGGCCATAGAGCCCATAGAGTTAAAGGTGTTGGCCGTTAGCTGTAAAAATCCATAGATTAGCCGCACCGTTATATGAACCACAGCGTCGAAAAATAGGGAAAAAGGCGCGGCTTATAGTCCGAAAATTACGGTAATTTAAATGACCTTTTTTTAGTTGGATGCTGATTTAAACAACAAAAAGTGATATAAGCTTCATAAAGGCAACTGGAGGTGAAAGATAATGATGTGAAAACCTAATTTTGGTTATTTATGGTCTGTTTAAAGTCATGCTGAGGCACATAGTGTATGTCAATACAGCAAAGCGAAAGGGTAAAGGCACGTTGCATTCACTGACAGGAAACACATCATGAAGGCGTCTTGAGTTCTTAATAAAATAATGTCAGCAGGATTGTCAAATAAATGTTTTTTCAGTGTTCAGACTCTTTAAAGCTCTTTCCAAATATATATAACGCTATTTCAAGATAAGTAATACACTTCAATACAATCACAATCCATCCAGAAAACGTCCTGATATGACTCTAAATAAAATAATCGTGTGTTTTCTTAACATTTACGTGTTAAAGGAAGAGAAGGAGGAGGACATGACACCTTTTCAGCAGGATAAATGAAATTTGAAATTCAAGGTATTTGTTCTTCAATGAAAACAGCTGAATACCAATTTTTCGTTAACATACGTCAAACGATGCAATGTAGTGACACTTAATCCCTGATAAGTCATCATAAAGCACTTGATTCTTGGTTTTTAGTGTTCTGCAAATTATAAAAATGCACTTTAATGAGTATTTATGTGTCTCTACATCCTCAGAAACCATTCGTTTTTTCGTTAAGTGTGTGCAAAAAGCCCTTTAACTTAAGTTTGCTCTGATGGGTCTCCACATTATGGGTTTATAGGAACACATGTTGACATGTGATAGCGAGAAAGAGCAGAATGGACTGGATTCTGGAGTAAACACAAAGTCAAATTCAGGCCTGTTTTAATGTGTAGTGATTTTCAAAGGTTAATTAGAGTGATGTATGCTGAGGTCGGAGCTGGCAGGAGGAGAAGTGACTTCGTCCAATGGGAGAGCGGCTTTAGGTCCGTGTGACGTTTGTTTACGAGGCTCCGTCCACTCGTAACGGGACGAAGTCAACTTTTCCACCCTGGAGCCGACCAAGGCAAACCTTAACAGACCTTCAGACTACTGCAGGAGGAGAAGAAGAAGAAGAGAAGGAGGTCGACACACACACACACACACACACACACACACACACACACACACACACACACACACACACACACACACACACACACACACACGTATATACTTACAAACACACACTTCAGGAAATCCCGTAGGATCCGGGTGGATTAGTCCCTCTCCTCTTACTCTTCCTGTCCAGACTGGTGTGTGTGTGTGTGTGTGTGTGTGTGTGTGTGTGTGTGTGTGTGTGTGTGTGTGTGTGTGGTCCTTATCCAAGCACATCGATCTTAATCATAACCTGTTTAGTACTAATACAGTTTGAGATCAACAAGAGCAAATCCCTGACTTAACATGGATTTTGAGGAAAGGAACTAAAGGAAACAATAACAAAGGAAGAAGGAAATGAGAAACAAGGAAATAAGAGAGGAAGGAAGAAGAGGGGAAGCACAAGAGAGGATGAGGATACAAATAAATGAGGAAGGACAGGAGGAAATAGAGGAAAAGAAGGAGAAAGGAGATGCAAATATATAAAATAAAGGTTAGGTTTTAAACGTATCTTTTGAACACGTTTTTTAAATTTCAAACTGCTGACAGAGATCACATAAGGTAGCTGGAAACACTCAGCATATATCAGGGTGTCAGCGCTGCGTCTGTGATTTCTGATTGCACTTGAAGGCAGCATCCGTTGGGGGGGGGTAAATAATGTAAAGGCGCTTCTGAAGGAATAAATTCCCCGTGGTTTCTTTGAGGCTGTTCTCATGAAGATTGCATTTTCCCAGCGATGAAAGTCCGTCACCGCTGCCTGACCTCGGGGGAACGGCATTTCAAAACATGGCGGCGTTTTGGTGACAAGTTTTTTTTAATCTTTTAGCTTCTTCTGCTCCGCGGGGGAAGAGACGAGCGACGGATGAAAGGAGGGAGGAAACCATGCTGGGATCTGACACACACACACACACACACACACACACACACACACACACACACACACACACACACACACACACACACACACACACACACACACACACACACACACACACACACACACACACACACACATCTGTTGAATTCAGCATCAAACTCCACTTTCTTCCTCGTCCCTCCTTCATCATCATCTTCATCACTCTGAGGGCTTTGCCGGTCCGAAAGGTCCGACCATCTTCATGGCAGCGTAGTTCTGGAGGAGGGAAAGAGAAACGGACGCAGGACGTTACTTTCTTTCTAAGATGGAGCAACTGTCAACAAACCAAGGGTTAATAAAGTTTTCTGATTCTGATATCTCACTCTCACCTCCAACATTTCATCCGTCTGCCTCTTTCTTTGTCATTTGAATTACTTCCTTTCAGTTTCTTATTCTTTACAGAGCTTTAACTTGACTGTCATACCAAATAAACGTAAATTAAAGAGTTCACTATTTGCAAATTTCGTTTTTTTTATATTTGAAGACACTTTATTTACACTTTTATGTCCCTGATTTAGAGTGGATGTATTTTAGAATATGTCTTGGTATTTTGCATGTTCTTGTAGAAGCTCTCTACGCTACATCCTTCCCTCTTCATCTCTTTTTATGTCTAAATAATCTCATAGCTATAAGCTTTCGAATGAAGGAGAAATTGCACAAAGAACAATCTAGAAATTAAACTATAAAATTGAGCCTAAAGTACGAATTCTTCACATTCCTCCGTCAACGCACCACAACAGTCTCTCACACACAGTTTGACTCCCACTCACCGGGAAGGAGTAGAGGAAGACTCCGAAGAAGAGGAAGACGAAGAAGAAGATGATGAAGAGGATGATGAACCACTTCCAGCGCCTCCACAGGATGAACTTCAGCGTCTTGAAGGGGGAGGAGAACCACAGGAAGGAGGTGTCCGGACGCCTGGAGGGGGGCAGAGCGTCAGAGAGTGTGTGTGTGTGTGTGTGTGTGTGTGTGTGTGTGTGTGTGTGTGTGTGTGACTCACTGAGGCTCCTCCAGGTGGGGGTTCATGTTGGGTTCGTCCCTCCCGACCCCCGCTGGTCTCTCCTCGTGTTCCTGCTCCGTCACGATCTCCAGAGACATCTCCACCTTCCCCTGAACCAGAGACACGCTAATGAGCTAACGTGCTAACATGCTAACGTGGTGTGAAGTCTTTTCTACTTGTGTGTGTGTGTGTGTTTACAAATACGTCACAAGCCTTACGATATAGAGCATAAGAAACAGATCATGAAAATCATCTCAACACATTCAAAAACAGTCATTAAAAAGCCAGACAATGCAAATTAAAACTGTTTGAAATACAATAGGACCTGTTTAAACATTAAATATGTTACAGTGCAGTGTGAGGAACGAAAAGGCAACGGCATTAAAGAAAAGTCTTTGTGTGTGTGTGTGTGTGTGTGTGTGTGTGTCTCACAGCGACGCTCCTCTCTCCGTTCATCACACAGCTGCAGGGCCACCACCC